TTTTTTTTTTTTGTAGCATAACATAAAATTAATATTTCAAGTTTTTAAAATTGTCTTAGTTAAATCGTTTTCAAATGTCTCCACTTTGCAGCTATGAATTTTGACTCGTCCTCTCGGTTTCCTAAATTTTGTTCATATTTCGTCTTAAGTGATCTGAATGACGGGATAACAAGTTTGGGCTCACTAAGAATATCCCAACGAGAACGTTTCCTAATCCCAGGAAGTTCTGACACACCCGTCTCACTGGTAGTTGTCGCAACTCCATCCTTGCTGCTAGGATTCTGGGTGTTATTCTCCGTGCTACTAGTTGCATATGATTTAGAAAACAGCGACGGAAATACTGGGGCAGTTTCCGGTCTGTCCAAAGTATTTTTCGATTCCTTTAAATGTTCGTCTCCCCGCTCAAGCGAAGCTGTCGAGCTTTTGCATTGACGTGGTTGTTGTATCGGTGGCGTAAAACAGCTGGAACTTTTGTTAATATCTATCTTCATTTTGTTCACGTGTACCAAGTCTTTCCGCATCTCTCTTTCAAAAACTCTGTGATGACGCTCAAATACGCTAAGTTTGAGATCCAAAATCTTTTTCTCGCGTCTGTTAGCGGTACGGATTTCAGTCGTAAGCTCACGACTAATATATTTACTTTTTCCCGATGTTTTTCTGTTATATCCTTTCGCTTTTCGTTGGTATTCTAGCTTTCGAAGTTGTTCGTTTGACATAGTCGGTAACTATGCAAAAAATGACTGGCTTTACACAAAAAAACACCACACCAACAGTCTTAGTTGAATCTCTTGGTCATTTCTCTTCATTCACAAGCAACAAGTCAATTCTGAATTCTATAACTTATCCTAGGCGTTCAGGCTATTACGTCTGTTGTCTGCTGGTGTTAAGGCCAGTCTAAGTTAGGCCTATTTTAACAACCTTTGACACAGGCTAACGTCCAACGGCTACCACGTATTCTTCTCCTGCTATTGGAGCAATTAATTTTACACCCCTAGCTGCATCTCAATCGATGGAACGTCGACCCCTTGATTGGAAATCTATTACTCTTCGACTTGCTTTCAACACACCAATGGTTGCTATGAATAATAAATGAACACCTTTGGTGATAATCTATGTAATTTGCAATAACATGTGTTCACTTCTAGCTGGTGTATAGTTCTTGGTGTGAAAATCACTCTCGCGGTACTTGGGTCGAGTTGTTTAAACGATTTCATGTTAATGAAGTTTTCTCAATAAATAAGTCTATCATTGTTCACTCGTTTCAAGTTGTCACATATATTCTTAAAATGGGCAACCATTTCGATCAAACATAAAGGTCCGGATAAAAGGAAAAGAAAGCACGCCTCATTGAGCTAATCTTAAAACATCGAAAGGCAATTTATACAGGTAGGTATATTTGAAAATAAGATAAGCTTTATGTTTGCTTTGCGATTATTTGCGATGTTAATCCCCTGCTTACATAAGTCCTTTTATTCAATTACTTCTGTCTGCGTAAAATATACGCCCCTCTTAAACTAATGTTTAAATTTCGAATTGTCATACATACAAACAAGTTAATACATAAATCATTTCCTGTATTGACGCGATATCTTTCACTTAAAATGGAAGTAAGAGTGCTTAAACAAATTTGAAAAACGACAGCGTACCCAATCTCTTTGCATCTTTATGAAGTTTTCAGTTCTACGTTTGCAGCACTCCTAGCCTACAGCTTAAATGTAATAATTTTGCCGTTTCGGTCCTTTTTTATTCCATTGGAAAATGCATATTCACAACAAACAAATGAACAAGTGCATTTATTTTACTACAACAATAAAAAGATTCACCATAATGCCACGTGTGCAGCAAGAAAATAACACCAATGGCTGCCCAAGAGTTCTCCAAACGTGACTGACAACGCCGGAAAACTAGATTTAAGAACAGCACGTTTGAAGGCACATGAAAATTTTTGAGAGGAAATACGCAACTATGGCAGCTTAGGTATAAAACGCATAATGCACAACACTAAAATGCATTACTAAAATTACAAATTCATTCACAGAGCTTTGAGATATGACTTAAGACTCTCTGACACCCTCATTTTTACTTTGAATTCAAACTTTTCAATCTAAATACCCCTACATTTTGCTGTGTGTAATGTCCTTTTTTATCAAACCTACAGGATCAAAGTCTTTATATCTAACTCCAGGGATAGTCTAAATCACAAAAATCCTTTGAAGGCTTTCTGACTAGTCCAAATAAATTCTGTGAAAGTCATTGGCTCCAAATCCAGCGTTACATTTCGGACATTTTCTCTGTCTTGTTTCATAACGAGTCTTTAGGCATTCTAGACAGAACACATGGAAACATTTGGTCAAAACAGCATCTTTTCGTTTGACTTTACATGATGGGCATGTTAGCTGTTCCTGAAATAGACAAGGGGTCATGTTTTTCAATAATAGTTTTGAGTAAAAGTCTATACCGCCTGTCTGTTTAGTCTATACTGCCCTGTCTGTATTGATCAATGTGGTTTAACAATAGTACAGGAGGACCCCAGCCCCAACCCTAATGCAACTCCTCCACTGAAGTAATTCAAGGCCAGTAAATCCAATATTCTACTGATGCCTAATTAGTTCTGATTAATGTTCCCTTTGATATAGTCTAAGCACAGCTAACCTGGCTGACCTTTTCCTGACAGACATCAAATGAAAGTCAACCCCATCACCCACTCCTTCACACAATGCACAAGATATCTACTTAGATATCAGTTTCTAAAATATCCCTGAAAAGCTTGATGTGAATATAATTTGACAAAAGACTAACCATACAAAACAACTTGAATGTAAATAAAAAAAAAATGACAGGTTGGAAACAGGTAAACACAAACCTTGTATTCCTTAAGTTCCTCCATCAGCACAGCATCTGCGGTTCCAGCTAATTCTATTTTTTTGTGCCTCTCCAGCTTTCTACGGAGGATAGCCACATCTTCCTATAAAAATATCAAATGCTTTAAATAAGCAAGTTCTTCTCTTTACCACTTAACTTTTGACTTACTTGCTAGAATTTATCAGACAAGCAAGAAAAGTTTCCCCCCCTACCTGTATTCTTCTGTATTTAAATGACTCCTGTTCCATGGCCCCTGTTTTCTCTGCTACTGTGATCTGAGCATCTTTCAACTGGTTCTGGTATTTTTCAAGGTGAAGTCTCAAGTCTGCTGCAGTCTGGGAACTCTCCACAGCTTTTCTCTTGTGCATTTCCAGAGCTTGTTGCCGCAGACTGAAACAAAAAATTCAAGAGTATCCTTGTTAGTCTGTTTATAATTACACATCATTCACTTCAATAAAATGAATTTTCTGGGATTATTTGTTTAAAATAAAAAACAGTAACAAATGAGAATGTTTCTACAGCATGTTAAATTTACAATATTTGTTACATCATGCTTTCCTCAATGACATAATCTATTAAATACTAAAAATATAACAATCAATCACACCTCAATTCCTTTTCTACTGTTGCTAAATTGTTCTGGAGTATTCTTTCTTTTTCTTCCAGCCGTCTCACTACTAAGTTTTGGGTTTCCACTTGCTGGTGTAATGTAGTCACCTGTTCCATTAAGACATCTTTTTCCTCTTTCAACAATTTATGAATTTGGTTGGATTTTATTCTCTGCAATCAAATGATGATATAAGTAACCAGATTGCTCAATATCAAACATCATGCACAGTAAAAAAAAAACTAGCTGAAATATTGTTTGCTAATATAATATATAACAATAATGCATAATGATTACCTATGCCATACACTGCTCTTACAGTATATTTTGACTGAAACTAAATAATATCTAACTAATGATGTCTGACTTATACTGAGCATTTGTGTTAATACTATTATTCTGGTCAGCATACCTCTGACATCAGCTTAAAATTGGCATCGTCTTTCTCTCTAAGCTGCTGTATCAACCTGATATTCTGTTCCTGCATGTCTTCAAAAGCCTGACCAGTGACCTCCATCTCATTCAACAGTGCTTCTTCCTCCTGAATAATATTGTTCAAACTGAATATAAAAACTGCATACTGCATTTTAGGCAGGTATTAAATATGGACAGGTTAATGACAGTAAACAAAGTTAAAAGAAGCATGTAGCAAACAACAGAAGGAAGGAGAGATATTAATATAATAAGAGATAATACTCTGTACCTGTTTTTGAGCTGCTAAATTCCTCTGTAGATCTGCTATACTCTCTTCCAGCCTTTTTATCTTTCTAATTGCTTCATCCTCTGCAAGTTTTCTCTTTTCTTTCCTCTCTGCTTCCTGCATCTTTCTGATGTGGTTCTTCAGCTCATCGATGTCCTGTTTAGCCTTTTTTTCACCAGCCATGAGCTGTACTTTGTCTCTCTGTTCTTTGGGGGCGCTCTTGTACATGTCCAAAAGCAACTTCATTTCTTTTTGACTGTCCTGTGCTTTCCTAATAAATGATAACTGAGGTTATATGGTCTGGTTCATAGAAGCACAAGCTCATCCTTTCTCCTTTTCATAATTTTACTGTAGACATCATCCTCATTATCATCGTCTTCACTACCATCATAATGCCAATAATAATAATAATTTCTTTCCAGTCAAAATTCGTAAAACAAATACAAAATAATTCATAAATCCAGACTACTATAAAGTAAATAAATAATTATCTGAAATGATGTCAATGTTATACAAATTTCTGATTTATTTTATTAAAAACTACTTTACATACCATACAGATCTTAAATTGTTGTAATATAACAGGAAATGGCATAATACTTACTTCAGCTGTTGCTTCAGGTCTTTTATAATCTCAGAATCACTTTTTCCTTTCTCTCTCTCTTTCTCCATTTTTTCTTCTTCCTCTTTCTTAATGATGATTGGCTCTTCCTGCCTGGGAGGCGAGGGCTCTTTAGGTGGTTCTTCTAGTGGCTGGTCAGCACTGGAAGCTTCAGCTTTAAACTGAAATAAAAACAAAATTTAGGTTAAATCAAACCAATTTTCACCCACTTGTGAACTTTTATCAAGCCCACTTTCTATTTTAAAAAATAGCATACTTAACAATATAGATTATTAGCTTTTACTACTTCATGAAACTTAAATAGATTCAGAATGAATGTAATACTTTTAATATTTGTAAAGTATGGAAACTTACATTTAAATGATAAGATTGTAAGATGAACAAATACAGCTAATTTGCTAAGCACAGCAACTACAAACATGGCTATTTACAAGTTAATAGTTAAAACATCAAACATATTCACAAGAGTATTTCAGATGCAAGAGTTTATGAGAAAGTATCAAGCAAACAACTAACTATCACAACAAAGAGTTAATTTACCAAAACCACATCAGGCACATAATTTGGATGTTAAACTTCTTATTGAATTTCATAAGTGGAAGTTGCAATTAAATGTTACAAAGAATATATGCCACCAATAGTCAATTTTCCACGCAATAAAAATTAACTGTAATCATATCAATACATACAGCAAGTAAGTTTTGCAGACTCTTTTAGAGTATTGGGATCAATGAGATTTTCCTTTTTATAGACCCTCCCTTGCAAAGCTACATATGTTATGCTTGTAAAAAATCAACTGCACACTCAGGAGTTAACACATGAAATTCTATCTACCCCATGCCCCATTACAGCCATTCAATTATCATCAAACAAATAATCAAACAAACACATGTGCACTGCTGGAATGAGAATGTGGAAAGCATTACAAAGCAAAATGTACAAGCCCTATCAGCTACTACAGGTACAAGGCACTGGTTTCACAGAACCATCATTAGCTAACAACCATTATTCCAATGCTGTTTTGACAAATATCTCTGTGTGTTAGACATGGACTACTACTGAAAAAAAAAAAGAGACATATTATGCAAATGAGGGCTTTGTGAGACCAGTGCCAGCTATGCAGAAGAACTATTTCAAAGTGTGGAGCAGTAGCAGTAGCTGCAGTAGCAACCTGATTTCCCTTTGGTGCTGATGTCTGATCAGTTGGTTGAGGACGAGGTGGATGAGGATGAGAATGAGGTGAATTGCTGTGTTGATGATGGAGGGGATCACCTTTCAACTGAAATAACAACCAAACCATCATACACAGTGCTGGAAACTCATTGCCACTTCTGGATCACAATCAGTTAATTCAGAATTAACCTGACTGGATAAAGGTTGCAAACAAACTGAAAAGCCTACTTAATGATCACAGCAGTCATCAACAAAATTCCTAATTAAAAAAAATCAAAATATGTATTAGCAGTAAAATCTGCTCAAAACTGTATTTGACAGCAACATTTAATCTTTTAATATTAAAACTTTTAGATGGTCAATTTTGCCAAGAAGTAGGTATATGAAAAAGTAAACCCAATACTGTGCATTGTATTATATCATGCACATTTAACAAAAAACCAGGAATGAAAGAAAGAGACCTGTTCATCCAAACATCTGCTGAAATCAACCTCTGCAAACACATGCTTTGCTAGAGACAATTCAAAATACATATTTTTTACATCAAAAGTGAAATGATGATTGAATGTGTAATACTGTCAATTAAGAAAAATTTAACACATTTAAAGAATATAATTTTGAAAAATAAATTCAAATCTTTGTTATAACTGTCCAAACTATCAAATTCACAGGTAAGAATTCTAACAGTAAGCAAATGAGTACTATTCATTTCCCGGTGCACCAAAAATAATTAGAGCATAAATGAGCTTTATGTCAGATCAAATTAAAATCAAATGGGTCATAAAAATGACCGTTATTTCCATTTTCATTGGTCCTTTCTTCCATCCCTTGAATTCCCCCATGCGCCTCAACCTAGCATAGCAATAAACTGTACAGCACTGCCAAGCACCATCCTTAAAGGCATAGGGGTGGCAATCTACTGGGATCTGTCAATACTTAGCCCTTATTGCCCCGTGTAAAATTCCCATTTTTTCCCCATTTTTTCAACACCCGACCAACTTTCCTTTGACTCTCTTACCATTATAGGCCCCTGTGCATGAGCTTTCTTAAACTAATGAAGTTCAAATGTTTTCGAGGTACTTAAATTAAATCATGGTTGTTCATTCTTAAACTTACCTAACTTTGATTTTTTTTTAACTGCCCCTATGCTTTCAACATGGAACATTCATTAGCATATATATATTTTTTCACAGAATCATGTATAAAAAAATAAAATAATAAATTCCAATTTGCCAAGAAGCTGGTTTACATAAATAAATAAGAGTGGGAGCATTCATTTTCTTACCTTGGCAATTTCTGTCTGTGCTTCTTTCAGTTTTCTCTTGTAGCGAGCAACCTCTCCTTTAAGCTGGTGATTATGATTCTGTAAGCTAGTGATCAAGTTTCGCATTTCTCTGTTGATGGGACCTGAATAGAAAGCTTTACTTAGACCTGGGTTTTCAATAAAGAAGCCCTAACATCAAATAATTAAGGACATCAGGCAAGTTTTAAATCACTTAAAATAGCGAAACAAAAACAGTATTTTCTTCCCACTCACCAGTCTGCTCATTGGCAGCTAAGGTTTGTTCAAATTCAATTCTCAGCATCTCATACTCCTTCCTGACTTGGGCCAGGGTATCTTCTAGCTGGATCATTTCAGTCCTTAGCTTCTTCTGGCAGGCAAGCTCATCGCTCTTCATCAAAAACATAGGGTTAATGCATCAGTGTTTTTAGATACATCTTGTAACATATCTGTTAATCCTCGATTTGTGTAAATAACAAAACCAATAAAATAATAAGAACTTGTTTCTCTACATGAAAGGGGATATTAGCTGATCTGGCTTTCTACAGATATCTTATCAATAGATAAGACAAGCAGCTTCAATATTCCAATCTTTTTATCAAGGTAAAGCTCACATTAAAAAATCTCCTTACCTCCATTTGTTCAATCTGCCTAAGATGAGCATTTTTGCTGCTTTGAAGGAGGTTTCGGCTCTCATCTAGCTGAGTTCTGATCTGCATACACTCATTGTACAGCACGGAAAACTGGGACTGCAGGCTCTTGTACTCAGATGTCTCAACTATGACACTCTCAGGCAGTTCTTTCAGCTGAAGTGTACGATACAAGAACATATTGATTTAAGAAACAGGTTTTAGTCATTTAAAATGTCTGCACATCTTAACATTCACCCTACACATTTTTACTTGAAGGGGTGATACCTTGCAATACCTGATCAACATATTTCAAACCTGAAATAACGAAATCTCTGTCAGGTAAAACTGTATACTATCTTGAAGCTGATAACTCATACCTCCATCTTCAGACGCTCTTCCTCCTTCACTGTATCTTGATGATTTTTCTGCAGATTCTCCAGCTCCTGAAGACGTGTACTGGCCAGCTCACGTTGTTCTTCAAGTTCACTTGTCAGTTCTTGAAACTGTTAATAATTAAAATACATGTCATCAATGTAATTCCTTAAAGTTATAAGGATAACTATATAAAGAGAGAGAGAGTAACAAGAAAACTAATGAAAACTGAAAAGTTATCAACAGCAATGCTTATACTTTTAATAGTAAGATGCATCATTCAAATCATTTTAAGAGTTTTCTAATCAAGTATCTGACAAAGACTTCTGTGTACAAACTAGGCACCATTTTTCTATATACCTTGGACTTTGACACCCCTTCGACTCCACCACCTCCCTCGCCCTCTACAGTCACCACCTCGGTCTGGCTCTTGAGCTTTTGGGCAGCCTCATAAAGCTGGAACTCAAACCTCTGAGCACTATGAGTAGTATTTCCAAGGTCATACTCCAGGTCATCAATTTTATTTTTCAATTCTGCAATCTCAGTTTCTGCTGCGGTGAACTTTTCTTGCAAGTCTGAATGCTAAAATGTGAACACTTAAGGTTGAAATGTTATGGGTCCAACAACAGCTTGGTGATGGCCATGGGTGCATTGACAGCCTATTTACTGTGTAATAAAATGAAAAGTACTTCCTACATTCTTAAAACTGCTTTTGTCTAAAACATTCTGATGCATGTTTTCTAATTCACTAGAACATAAATGTGAAATACCTTCAATGTAGTAACATGGTGGATTTCCTGGAGCTTGGTCACCAAGTTCTGCAACCGTTTGTTTTCCTTCTGCAGGTCCAAAAGTTCAGTTTTCACTGCTTCACTTAAAATTTGTTCCCCATTCTTTTTCTCTGGCTTTTCCTCGTCTTGTTTCTCTACACTTCCTTCCTTTTCACCCTCTTGGTCTTCAGTTTCTTTCTGTGCACTGCTCTTGCTGTCATCTTCACCTGCTCTTTCTGTTGTTTCTGTTTTCAATTCTTCCTTCATGTCTGCTTTCTGGGCATCACCTAAAGGAAATTGACCTTTGTTTGCCTGGATATTATCTGTCTAAAATGTTATTCAAAATCCACTTTTGGGAGTAATTAAGTCAAGAAATTTAATTGCCATTATATTGTAATACCCTTTTTTTCCAAAAACGATTTTTTCCACTTAGAAAATGTCTAATAAAGATTCTTTTACACCAAATTACATAATTAGTTATTCTGTGAAAGAAACACATTTAAAGTTGACTAAAGGAAATGAGCATCAGCATGCACCTCAATTTTTTACAATACTTTTGTAAGATTTACCATCTTTTTCAATTTTCAAATCTTTGATGGAATGATATAACTTCTCATTTCTTTGCAGCAGTCTGTCATAAGCTTGGATTAGCTTTCCAATAGCTCTTTTGGAAAATTCGACCCTTTGGCTAAGATTTTGTTCAAGTTCTTCCTTGTCCCAGCTTGACAGCTGTGTCAGGAAAGAGGTCACAGCTTCACTCTGATCTGAAATCAGGTAGGCAGGTATATTTATAGAAAGAACATAAAGACTTATTGCTCTTAATTTACCAGTATACCATTATAATTTTTCCATGATTTAGTGACTATGAGGCAGTGTATATAACATACAAAAAACTGGCTTGGTGTAGACTTACTTTCTCTCTCATCTTCATCTGCTGTTTCAGCATCAAATCTTTCCAGTAGCACTCTTACATCTTCATCCAGCTGGGAAAAATATTGCAAATAGGATAAAATAAAATGTATAAAAAATAACAATGGGAATATAAAAATAGTCTTAAATTTCAATTCACCTAAGTCAGATTTTTCATCTGATGAATTATGTTACTCCACTCTACTGAAACAAGAACAATTCTGAAATACCTGATTCCAATATCTGTTGACAATACACAGGACAGCATCATCTGTTGTTTGTCTTTTCTCCAACTGTTCAATTCGCTTTCTTAGATCCTCTTCTGCACGCCTACGTTGTTCTAAGCGTTGACTTAGTTTTTTATTTTGAAACTGTACAGTCTTAAGGTCAAGCTCCTCCTAGAAAGAGCAATTTCTTGCATATTAAAAACATCCCTCCATGTAACAGTTAATCATCAATACATAATTTAAAGCAAGCAAAAATTGAAAAGACAAAATTCAAGTGTTTGCATACAACAAGTATTTTAAGATATGAGATAGTTCTTAGGGGACGGCTTGCAGTCTTATAAAAACACTGAAAAAAAATACTTGTATGAATGTAATGAATATCACAAGAACATGAACAGTTCCTGCAATTCTATCAAAAATGGCATCTCAAGAGAGTCTACCCTGTACTTCCTATTTAAAATTTCTCCAGTTAATGCAGTTTCTTACCAATGAGTAGATTGGTCCAATCTTAATAGGCTCGAACTGGACTAGGGCTTTCTTTGAAGGTGGTCCAGTGGAGCCTGTTGGAGACTCACTCAGGGGTCTCTTGGCAGACATTTTGTGGGTTTATGTATGTTACCTAAAAGATAATAAAGTACCAAAGTGAATCTCTATTCAGATAATGGAAAGGCAAAGAGCAGAATAGTATGCTGTACACTGAAATCAATGTTTCTATTAATGAAAAAAATGCTCATTCTGGACTAAGGCAATGAAACTTAAAAAACATATAATTTATGGATAAGTCTAAACTGATAAATGACAAAAAAAAGGAAAGAAAAAGAAAAGAAAAAAGACACAAAATGGATGTTGTATTCAAAGCAAATAAAAGAAAATGAACAAAAGCATTGGCTTCTTTACTCCACAAAATGCTAAACCACAAAAGCAGTGAAAAGATTCTTCTCAGAAATATGGCTATATAAAGAAAAATTCTGTGAGGCCCACGAAAGCCCTGCATCTATTTCAGGCTTTATTCTGCTGTTTATGTTCAAGTGCTGGACAAGAGGCTCCACAAATATATTATTTTTCTTCAAATTTATGAATATAACATTTTCATCAAGATGGTAGTAATTTGAGGGGCTTAAGCGGTTTAATGTGATTGCTTCAACACCCATTCCATGTCTTTTTGTTCTTTTCACTCTAAGTCGTAACTGTTTTGTACAGCTGCAGAGCAGAATGAAACTATACGATGAACTTCAGAAAGCTGAAGTCTGCGGCGTCGTTGAAATGATTGTACTAGCAATCGACTATCCTGGACTAATTACGCAAGACACCAATTAAAAAACTTCTAGTTCTGAATGAGTCTTAAGTCTAACGTTTCCAAATTTTGCATGAGTAATATAGGACACGCTTATAATTGGAAATTTGCACAATTCTATGGCTCTCTTACCAGGATCACTCCATTTTGAAAAGTCCCGGATGTTTAGTCTTTAAACTTTATTGGTCTTTGGTTTAGTATGTCTTTGTCAAATGTAAACCACAAACTTATTATAAAAAGTAACATTTTCAATATATTTATTTATCTTTAAAATTCGTAATTTGTCAAATGAATGTCATTTGTCCAAGAAAAACAAAAGAGTTTAGAGAGTAGCTAAAATGACAAGGTCAAGGTGAATATTGCAGGAAGCTTGGGTGAAGTATAGTGGGTGAAGTAGGGGGGCTGGGGAAATCATGGAAGCAGATGACTTAGATTTCAACCCATTTTACCAAGCTTTGCAGGTACGTTCAATGCACTGTAAAGGTACTCGTGTCAAAGCTGTAATGATTTGTAAACGCATTTTTTGAGTTAATTTTAAAGATCTTGGTCAAATTCTAGAAGAAATTAGCATATCTGATTGTCAACAGTTTTTATGAAATGACCAGGCTGAATAAATCCACAGCCCTTCAGTATCTACGTTGTCCTCTTTGCTCTCTGTGGAAGAGATAGGCATATTTATATATACACGTCTGACTTTTTAAATCAAAGGCATTTTATAACAAAAATGTAGATTGGTAATGTGCCTATACTACATGCCTTTTTAAATTTTTATCATAAATGTTTTAATTACTTTATCCAACACCTGATTTTTCAATTATTTAATCTGCAGGATCAATATCATACTGCTTATGAATATGCACAAGAAAAGTGTTACACTATATGTGTACCTGAAACAAGCAGTTTGGAAGGTGTGGAGATTAACAACCGTTTTGTGGGTAAGTTATTCATTACTAGATTATCATAATTGTAAAATAAATAAATAATTAAATAAATAATAAAATCATCAAAATTACAAGCCTTTGCTTCCTTTTCTCTCATAAAGTTTAATTAAAATTTACTCAGTTGCAATGGACCTTTAGCTTTACTGTTTTTGCTTTTATAGTGTGTTCACCTTTTTTTTTTTTTAGAGACACATATCTTGAAGCCATCTCCTTTTTTTCAGGGGTAAGTTGATGCAGACTTAGTGAACCTTGTTTTTATAAAAGATCTGATCATGGCCAATGTTTTTTATAACACTATTTTAAAATGCTATTTTTACACTCAACAAGTGCCTTTTTAGACCGCAAGTGTATTTATGAGAATGATTGTTTCACTTTATCAGGATATACTTATGTTGTAAAAGTTTTCTTCTTCTAGACAATATTACACTGCTGGTAGAAAAGAAAAGGCAGTCTTTTTAGATGAGGATATCATGCAGACAGGAGAAGGTGGTGTATTTATATTTTTTTCACAATTAAATAAAAATTTAGAAATGGTGTAATTCTTCATCTCAATGTACAGATATGTTTGGAATGTATTAATTATTTGTGAGGACATTTTATGGAGTAGAGCTAATTTAAGCTGATATTTGATCATTTTGTTATTATAACAGCAGCTTTATTGTATCTACCATATAGGTTTTTCCCAAAAAGTTACTGCAAAAGTATTAGTTGAAGAAAAAGCCTACAACAAGGTAAAGATTAAAGGGGTAATAACTCTTCGTATGAGATCTATTTTCACAATAAAAACCTTGTGAATAACTCATAGAAATATAATATATTCTGTTTTACCACAAAAACAGCAGTTATAGCTATTATTCTGATATCTGAACTTGTCTTTAGCCACGTGACCGCCATTGATGTCTATACTCTGTTAAAATCTCTTAAGAGATTTTAACAAAAAACCAAACATTTTAGAAAAAAAGCAGGGACTAACTTTGAATGTAAAAATGGATTCATTAACCATTGGTAAGTTTGGGAAAATTGTTGTTTACTCCAGGAAAATTAATTTTTTGGCCGAAACGAAGAGTTATTATTGCTTTAAGTCATGTACAACAATTAAGATCTATTAGCTTATTTTCATTAAATGTAGATATAATAGAACAAAATGTAGATATAATATGACAAAAAGATATTGTCTCTTTTTAAGAGCATGATTTAAGTCGTAGGTGATCTTCACGTCATAACAGTGCAAACTCTTTACTTCAGGAATACAAGCCATTCAAGTTATTGATTGTAGATCAACCACTTATTCCAACACCAAGGGTAAATATATTTCACTTATGGTGTCATTTTTGTCATTTTGCATTTTATGAATTTTCTGGGGACTGGAATGAGCTGAATGGAAATTCATTTGCGTCATTTATTTTTAGTTCTGTAATAATAAATTTTGTTTTGGATCACATTTTATTTGTCAGTCTTACTTTCATTGAAGTATTTGTTTAATAATTTAACGTACTGCAAAAGATTAGTTTAATATTTTAAAAAATTCTACACATTTAGTAATATTTCAATTAAAAAATTGATTACATACATCAGCATGTGAGTTATTGATACTAACAATGCTTATTTATTTTTGACCAATGGGTTATTTATATTTTTCAGTCAAAAAGAAACAGTGTCTTGTCAAACTTAATTGAAATTTTTACACCCAAGAAGACACCAACGGAGTAAGCTCTGGTTTATGCATTTTCTTTCATTTGATGTATTATATGTATAGCTTATTGAAGTGCTACAGTTTATAAATATGTGATTAAAAATAAAAAGTACAACACACCCAGCAGGCCCCAAATAATGGTCTCTGAGACATATAAAATTACTATGTAGTTTTGTTTAGAAATTGTCACATCACAGCTGTAAACTGTGATTTTATGCCAAATATGATATCTAACATGATTTATGGTACAGAAAAAAGTCATGTATTCAAATTAAGAATATTCATGCCCTCTACAGTAATCTAAAGTTCTACAGCAGTTTCCGTGGAGGTAAAATATCTGTAATATTAAAAAGGCAATACATATTTAACATCAGAATGTGTCCCTTTTAAGTTTGTGTTACAAACAGAAGTCATTTCATCACCTTAATTGTACTAATCAAACATTATTCTTTACAAAATACATTAATTGATAACATTTCAACATTTTCTGTATATATCTCATATGTTTTATGTCTTTATTTCAATTTTTGCAGATGCAGAGAATTTCTTCAATCATTCCCAGAACATAAACAGGTAGGCAAGCAGTAACCAAAAATGGTTTATTAACATTAGTCAACATTTAATTGTTTCAGCCTCAATGAGTAATTGTTTATCATAGCGTGTAATGATAAAAAGGGGCACTCTTTTCTCTAATAATGTATTGTAATGGCAATATCAGTTGGATTCTTTGAGAAAACTGAGGACCTCTTTTTATTTGATTTGCAGACATTATCAAACATAGACACAACAATACAGCAATTCAAGAAAAACTATATGGTGTTAAAGGACTATATGGATGATGCAGTGAAAAAAATTGAAAATATTTGTGTGGAAGCTAGACAAGTAGGTTTTTTTAAAAAAAATTTAATTTGTTATAAACTGTGGAAAATGCATAACTTATTATCATAATATGAATAATTTTGATCCTCCCACATTACATTATTCAATGAAATATAATTGCAACTGCTGAGTCATAATTTACAGAACCTTCTGCTTGTAAACCAACATCCTCACAAGACAGACCAAAGGTTTGAAGATGCTCTTTCAGTAGCTGTAGAGAGGTAAGAAAAGTGTAATTGCTGGTAATTTAAAATCTAATGTTAGAAAATGTCTAATTTCCTCTCATAAATATGAAGCATTCATATTAAAAGTTAAATGACCATGTTGTACATTCAGAAATATTCAAAGGTTGTACCACCAATTTTTCAGCTATATATTATCAGAGCTGAACTCTAAAGTTTTCCCTGTGGTGTGTCAGAAGTGGAAGAAAGATGATGAGCACTTAGAAAAGAAATGCCAAAGCCTAGAAGGCATTACTGGTGAACAGCTTGGATTGAAAGCAAATCTCAGATGTCCACTTCCATCTGCAGTAAGTGTAGTACTTTGTGCTATAGAGACTATAAGTATATAGAGTCTACAAGTAGCTCTATAGTCTGTGCAGAACGAAGCATTATACTCCTATATATTATATCACGTATTTTCAGAGTGGTGATCAAGTTTTGAAATTAATACTTTATCATATCTTGGGTCTGTCTCTCTCTCTAAGGCAAGTGAGTGGTGGTGGTGTTGGGGGGGGATGTTAATGACATTCAGTTCTAGTTCTAGTTCTCTGTGCACTAGGTCAGTGAGATGTCCAACCTGAATCAGAAGTGCACGCCACATGAAAAACTGGTTTGCTTAAAAACTGTCTTGGTAGGTGATCTTATGAACAAAGATATAAGAAAATGATTTTTACACAGTTTAATTCATGTCACAATAATTGTGAATTAAATGAAGTAAAAATAAAAAATGAATGTAATAATATTGAAGTTAAAACTAACATCTGTTATACTGATGTTACAACAGTTGTCATAAGTGACTGTTGCATTTTCATAAAGTGATTATTTTCTTCTCTGTAACATTAACACATTCTTCTCAACTCTTTTTGTCTGTAAGGACTTCATTGCAGAAGATATAAATAAACACTGTATGGCAGGATCACAAGGCTTGTCTGGAGACAGTAAGTATACATAGTTTATTTTCTGGATTACGGAGAAATGTAGGGAATATGTTTTATTTGACATACTGATGTACTGACAGACTCTTTCATCGTATGTTAGCCCATAATTTTAGGTTGAGTTTTTTCTATATATATATATATATATATATATATATATATATATATACCATACATTTTCTTTTCCTTTCAGACTTTCTCACCAGTGATGATCTGATACCACTTCTAGTAAGTTGAAATCATTTTGAAATTTGGAGTATTGACTTGAAATTCCCCTAACCATTACCTTTAAAGGCCTTATGTCAGGCAAAACGTAAAATTTGTTTATTTTGCTTTTAATTTCTCTTTTCATAGGTAACTGTGATAATAGAGAGTAAGAGTAGTCATTTATGGAGCAACTTGTACTACATGGAACACTTTAATTGGGCAATGTCTACAAAAGATGACCTGAGGTATATATATTTTTTAATATATTATATTTATCATATCCATTAAAAGTTGGTATTGCTTCTGCAAGTCAACTGTATGTACGTGCATAGGA